ATACATATATATATATATATATACATATGCATACACTGCCTTTTTTTCCATACAGATGGTAGCCAGTTTTTAAATATTGGTATAAAGTTTTGAAACCCTGAGGGTCAAACAAAGCACTTTTGTTCCCCTGGATTATAGATCACACAGGCATGTGCCTTATGATCCACATGACTGACAGTTCCCTGAAGACAGGAAACTTTGTCCTGGCATCCTCTTTGGTACCTGGCACAATGCCTTGCACACAGTTGGTACTCAATAAGCACACTGCCTGTCCATGGAAACATTTCTTATGCACCAGCACTATGCCTAATGCTGAGTCTACCACAGACTATGGGGTGAACTGTGGCGTGGCCACCGAGAGGCACACAGGGGAGTTCGTTGTCTGGTTAAGTCTCAAGTCCTGTGAAAACAACCAGAATCTGCCTGCCTCCCATAGTTCCCAGTTACCTGGGTCAACAACAAATGGGCAGAAATAGCAAATCACAGTTCCTGTTCTCAGTTCTCAGGCCCACAATAACAGCGCATTTGCTCATGCTGACGGCCTAAGCCGCAGCAGAGTGCTGAGACCAGCTCCTCCACACCAGCTGTCATTCCCAGGAGTGGAGCTTCCACATCTTGCCCTCCACGAGGACAAGTCAAGCTGAGACAAGACTGAAACCACAGGCATGGGCAGAGCCTGCTGACTCCTCCCGAGGCACTGGGCTGGGCAGGGCAGGGCTGGGCCAGCTGCTGCGATGAGTAAGGCATTCAAGCTTCTTCATGTTGGGAGAAGACTCATTGCTCAGGTTGTTTTGGAATCTCCTAGAATAGATTCTATTTGCTCACTATGCTGAGTCCTCTGCTTGCTCCCATACAGCCTGGCAGGAACAGGGCCTGTGTTCATAGGTTGCTCTTCCCCTCTGGCAACAGGTACCAGAGGGGACAAGGTGGCATTTTCATTCATGATGAGGTGCCCCTCACTGAGGAATCGTAGCAAGACCTTACATGTCTCTCCTGAATCCTCGGAGGCAGCGATGTCCAATCCTGTGTCTGCAGTGACACAGGACAGGTGGTTCCTGTCACAGCACACTCCCAAGGGAGGGGCACAGGCAATGTCCCTGGAACTGTACAGTGATGCCCTCCCTTCTGCCTCACTTGAGAGCGTCCTGACAAGGAAGGGGGTGGGGAGCATGACCGTAAGGTTCACCTTGAATGTTATTCTAATTGTGGTGCAGCATGAACGTTACTCCCAACATGCAGGTGGGTGAGACTTGTCCTAGTCCTTTTTTTCTTTATTTCAAGTTACCTCAGCCTTGGAGCCCTCACCCTTGGGGCTGCCATGAAAATTCGATTTGCGGTAACAGGAGGGAGCAGGCTCTCCCCTTCCTTGGAGATACGTGAAAATCCAGGAGATCATTATAGAGTACCTGGAAAACAGGGACAGGCCCACGCTTCTTCTGAGGCCAAGGCCGCTGTGGAAATCCCCAGGGCTCCAGCCTACACGAATCTTCTTGGAAGGGCTTGTGGCTACCTCCTTTCCAAGCTGAGGCAAGGGAGCACATTCCCATCTGTGATGCCTGGAGGCCACCAATCTCCAATCCCTGCCCAGGCTTCAGGCTTCCAGAAAACAGAAATCAGATTGTCAGGCTGGGAGCGGTGACTCACGCCTGTAATCCCAGCACTTTGGGAGGCTGAGGCAGGCAGATCACCTGAGGTCAGAAGTTTGATACCAGCCTGGCCAACATGGCGAAACCCTGTCTCTACTAAAAATACAAAAATTAGCCGGGCATGGTGGTACGCGCCTGTGATCCCAGCTGTTAGAGAGGCTGAGGCAGGAGAATCATTTGAACCCAGGAGGCGGAGGTTGCAGTGAGTTGAGATTGCGCCATTGCACTCCAGCCTGGGTGACAGAGCAAGACTCCATCGCAAAAAAAAAAAAAAAAAAAAAAAAAAAAAAAAAAAAACAGACTGTCTGCACAAATAACTTCTGAATTCAGCCCCTAAACCAAACCTACCTAAGGCAAGGCTGGCTTCCAGCTTAGAAAGAAGAAATAAAATATGGGAAAACCAAAACCCATACCAATAGCTCAATGTATTATTCTGTCACCTAAATTAATCATACACAAATTTCAGTACAGTGTACCATTCAGCCCTTGTCACAGATGCCTGTGCCCAGAGCTCACACAACACCGATGCTGTTTGCTCTAAAGCAGAGCTGAAGAATTGAAGGATATTCTATTCTCACTCTGCTTTATTTCCTCCAATCACAGATTGTCCCCAGAATAAAAAATAAACACAGTCCTCCCCAAGGGAGCAATTTCTAGCCAAGAAGATCATCAAAAACGGTGTTGCCCAATGCCCCAATTAACTGTATCAAACCCAGTAAATGATGAAAGTGAAAGCATCAGCTTATTATGATAATTAAGCTATGCTGAGTCAATGGCAGCTGCTACGAGACCACTTCTATTACTAAAACTACCTTCTCTACTTAATTAGCACTTTCTTAAAAACATCCTTAGTTTTTCACATTAATCTGACTGGGGACAGTCACTGAACCAGAGCTAAATGGCATCTGGTCTACGAGAGATCTGAGTCAATAATACGGTGGCTGGCTTTAAAAAGACTGCTGCCCTTTCTTTGCTTGATGACTTGTGATATAGAAAAAAGAAAAATAAATAAACCATCGTTGTTGCAATACAGTATTATTTTTAATATTTAGGTGGGCATGTGACAAAGAACTTGGAGTGGCAGGCTTGGAATTTTGAGTTTTGAGTTCTTCCGGATATTTATTCCAGCTGCAGCTGCGCTCTGTGCTGCTTCTGCGGCAGATACCACTGCTAGAACACATGCCTGGCTGTCTGTAGCCCTTGCTGGAAGCAATGGCTACTGTCCAGGGTAGAACTTTATCTAAAGGCTCCCATGATAAACAGATGCTCAACACTACTCATACTAAAGACACATAAATGCAAACAGAAACCAGAAATCATTTTCACCTATCTGATGGACATGGACTCAAAATACTGGTAATACAAAGTGTGGGTGAACTCGCGGGTGAACCGTAGACGCAGAAATCACTGTACAATGGATCGGTCTTTTTACTGGGTAATTTGTTAGTGCCTATGAAAAACTTTAAACGCTCATGCCCCTTTTTCTGGCAGTTCCATTGCTAGAAATTTACTATACAAACATACTTTAAATGTATATCAAGAAAAGGAAAATGTTTCCTGCAGAATTGCTTGCAATAGCCACAAATCAGAAACCAATTAAATGTTTCTCAGTAGGGGCCTGATTAAGTACATTACGGAACAGCAATACAATGGAATTATGTCACCATTTTAAAAGATGCTGATTTTGCATGCTAATGTAGAAAAGAAAAAAAACTTCCAAAATATAGTATTAATAAAAATGCAAAATGCATATAAAATGTTGACTTTTTTCTAGAAGGATACACAAAAATATTGTTAATATGGTTATTTTCCTAACAATATACATATCATCTTAAAAAGGTACACAGTACTTGGGAAGTGGTAGACCATTCTTCTCCCTTCTTTGTACTTTTTTTGTATTTTTAAGAATAGCTCTTTAAAGAATGATGCTGTATTTATATGAAAGTTGAAAGATGTCTGTGAGAGACCGTATTTTCCAACGTGGCCAGGGTAAAATTCCCGGACCTTCTAGAACCTTGTGGACCTTCTAGAACCTCCCTCAAGAGGTGGAGTTTATTCCTCTCCTCTCGAACCTGCATGGGACTTTGTGACAGCCCCAACAATTAGAAGGCCATGCAAGTGACACTGTGGTTTCTGGGGCTACACAAAAATGGTCATGTGGCTTCCATGTGGCTCCTGCTAGCTCTTGGAATGCCTGCCCTAGAAATCCAGCCACCATGATGTGAGGAATTCCAACCTAGCCCATAGCTCAGTGGTTCTGAGTCTGTTCACAGAGTTTTTCACACATCACCACTATCTAATTCCAGGACATGTCCATTAACCCCAAAAGGAGCCCTGTACCACCCAATCCCCACCCTCCCCATGCCTGGCAACACTCATCTATGAGGTTTCGCCATGGCCAGGTTGCTCTTGCAATCCCGACCTCAGGTGATCTGCCCACCTCAGCCTTCCGAAGTGCTAAGAGTACCACACCTGGCCTCATCTGCTTCTCTGTGGTTATGCCTATTTTCTGGACATTTCATATAAATGGAATCATATAATATGTGGCCTTTTGGGTCTAGCTTCTTGCACTTGTGTAACTTCTTCAAGGTTCACCATGCTTTAGCGTGTATCAATACCTCATTGAATAGTTTTGCATTGTATGGATAGCCCACTTTTTGTTTATTCATTGGCTGAGGGACATTTGAGTTGTTTCTACTTTATGGTTATTAAGAATAATGCTTAGCCGGGCACAGTGGCTCACACCTGTAATCCTAGCACTTTGGGAGGCTGAGGTGGGTGGATCACCTAAGGTCAGGAGTTCAAGACCAGCCTGATCATCATGGTGAAACCCCACCTTAAAAAAAAAAAAAAAAAAAAAGAATAATGCTGCTGTGAACATTTGTTTACAAGTGTTTGTGTGGACATGTTTTCAATTCTCTTGTGTTCAAATATTAAATGGTAAATATATAATAATTAAATGATAAATACATAATAATTAAATGATACTAATAACTGATACACAATTAATTCTTATTAAAGCAAATTCCCTATGAGCAGAAACCTGTTCCTTCATGGTAATTCAAGTTTAATAAAGACCACTGGGTAGATCTGAAGTAATAAAACAGCACTATTTCAAACCCAGATTTTTCACTAATTTACATTGACATTTCTCAATTCAGTCTGAATGGAGATACCACTTTACTATCTCTATCCAAAAACCCCTGGGCTATGCCATGGTCTTCAAAATCCCTCTCTTTATGCTCCAAAATGAAAACCTATCATTAAGTTTGACATACAGGAAAGGACCAGAGCCTCTTCAGGAATTTGGAGTTTGATTTAGAATGTTGGGAAACACAGAACCTTTTGCTGTGCTGTAACTTACCTATTTAGGTTTATTTAATAAATACAGTAGAGTTAATAAATAATAGTGAAAGTTCAATAGGAGTAGGCTGATTTAAAAAAAAATCTGGATTACAATGAAAACTCACTTACGGGGGAGTTTGGGCTTGCATTTAGAGCCTCTACCAGTGGAAATCACTCAAATAACAAGCACTGCGGAGTTCTTTGTCCACAGACACCACCTCCCTACAGGACGGTCCTGCTTTTCCCCCAGCACCTGGGCACATGTCTCCAGTAAGCCTTATCACAGTCTCTCTGAGTTTGCCTGTGTGCTTCACATAAATGTAAAGAAAACAATGAGATACTTCTTTGGGGCAACTGCTGTAGAGGCCACCAATGAGAAAGTGTAGATGTTTCCACCATGGAAAATTACAAGTTTACTTGGTTTCAGTCCTTGGCACCAAGTCTTGGGTTCCTTGTCACTGAACAGCCTTCTTTCCACTTGGCTTCTCTTGGCCAGCATCCTGGCACGCCATCAGAGGAGAATATAATGAGAAAGAAGTGTCTTACAGGGATGGGAGCTCTGGTAGCTTACCATATGGGAATAATCATGGCTCTTCAAACAAATCCTTGACCAGACAGTAGCACTATTTGTCTTCTTGCCTACTCAAGCTACATGTGGGGTTCATACCTCCCAAAACATGTGCACACTAAGAGAACTGGAGAATGTTTGCTCAGTTTCCCTCCTTTTCAGGGGAATCCTCTGGTTGCTCTTCAGTACATGAGCAGTGACCCAACTGTGGTTAGCTCCAGAGAGTTTTCTAAGAGTTTCCATCATGTTCTCAGAGTTCTGATGTTGCTGTAGAAGAAAGAGGCCTAACTCGTTCTTGGTTTACTCACATTTCAGGTTACATGAGTGTGGGGTGGGGAGTGGGAAACAGCTTTATAATTTTTGAAGAAATTATACAAGGAGTCAGGAGTTTGAGACTGCCTAGGCAGAGTCTGGCTTACATACTGGTTGAGTTCTTGTGCAGCGCCCAAGAAGAATGAGAATGTGCTGACAGTGGAAGAGTGAGCACTTGCTAATTATGAAAATGCCACAGGATAGCTATGTGGGGTAAAAAGCACCTGAGATCTCACCCTGTAGAGGTAACAAGTGTATCGCTTTGGTGAGCATTTCTAGTAATCTATCTGATATGTATAATTATTCATCCAGTGTTTCCCAAATATATTTGTGAAGATGGTATTAGTTTGTGTTCATCCAGGAGCCAATCCTGAGACAGAGGTTGGAAAGCAAGAAATGCACTTGGGAGGTACAGCAAGTGGTAATGGGGAGCGGGGAAGTAAGGCAGGGAGGGTGAGACAGGTGGTTATCAGGTCAGCTGCTCCTGTGGGTGGATGGATGGTGCTCAGTCCCGTGGAGGAACTCTGGAAAAGAGTGTGGGACATGTGCCTCGGCAATGCTTATCTGAGGGTGAGGGAGCTGGGGCATTTATACCCAAGGTGCTATTGCTGAGGCTGTTCCCTGGGGGTGTGACTTCTCAGCACTTCCAGCCTGCATAGGGCCTACCAAGATATGCGAGAAAGCACTCCCCCGCCCACCAGGAAAGAGGCAGACACTGGTACCTGGAAGGCAGCCAGACACACACTTACTGATTGTATTGCTTAGACAATGTGTCAGGCACTGTTATAGGTGCTGGGGATATGGAGGGAAACAAAACAGAATTCTGCCCCCATGGAGCATTCTGTCTATTGGGGGAAAAATAATAAACAGGGCAAGTAAGAAACCATGGAGTGTGTTAGCCGGTATCAAGTACTGTGAAGAAAAATCAAGCAGGAAAGGGAGTTCTGGGAGGGGGGACAGGATGTGGGCTGCAAACAGCCAAAGAGGAATGAGGGCAGGCCTTGCTGAGAAGGCGACACTCAAGTAAAGACTGGAAAGAGGGCAGAGGGAGGCCCTAAGGCAGGAACATGCCGAGGTATGTTTGCAGCAAGGCCTGTGCGGCTGGGCTGGGAGGGCAGGAGGGCGGGGCAAGCGGAGCCAAGCTGACCCCTGTGCAGCCTCAGGCTCCTACCTGGGGTGAGACCAAAGGCCGTGGGAGACTGGGAGCATAACAGGATGAGGGCGGCTGCTGTGCTGTGAACAGCCCAAGAGGGGTCAGGGCAGAAGCAGGGGGTCTGTCAGGAGGCCGGAGAGGAGGGGGAAACAGTTAGAGATTCTGGAGATATTCTGAAGGGAGAGCCAAAATGACTTGCAGACAGATTGGATATGAGGTATGATGGAAAGTAAGAAGCCAATGGATTTGGTTTGAGCAATTGGATGATGGAGCTGCCTCTTCCTGAATCAGGGAAATTTTCCAAAGGAGTGATGCAGAATTTTTTTCTCAGTCACTTTGCAAGCCAGGGACCTCTGGCTGGTGACGCCCCGCCTGACCATGCTACCTGCTGCAGGTGACGGCCTGTCCACTTCGCCTGCCCAGGCCAAGTCTGGCTTACACACCGGTTGATTTCTTGTCCAGTGCCCAAGAAGAATGAGAATGTGCTGACAGTGGAAGAGTGAGCAAGGAAGGGAGTTCTATTGAGTGATGAAACAGCTTTCAGCAGAGAGGGGATGCGGGGGTAGTCCCCCTACCCCCGAAGGTGGGAATATGGCTGAGTCTGTTCTTTTTATGGGCTCAGAATGTGCGGGGGGTGGGAGGGGGCAGGCCCTAGGTGGTATTGAAAAAGGCAACATTCGACTGGTGAAAAGGCATTATTCAGAAAGAATCAATTGGGAAACGGTGGGCAAACAGGAACAGAAGTTCTCTCTCTGGGTCACAGGTTTCATCCAGGACTAGCAGTCCTGTCTTTCAGCCTTCAGGCCATTCTTGGCTTGAAGGTGGGGTTTCACTTGGGACCCGCCCCTCTCTGCCTAGGCATTTGGCTGCCTCCTGTAGCAAGTCTGGGGTCAGGAGGAATTGGGAGCCTGGCTTTGGGCCTATAAAGTTTGTGATGTCCATTAGAGACCCTAAGTGGAGATATCAGTAGCAGGCTGGATGTAGGGGTCTGCATTTCAGGGAAGAGGCCCATTCTGGGTTTAAATTGAGGAGGTGGACAGCATATAGATGGTATAATCCATGTGGTCGCTGGAGACACCCCAGGAAGCAAGCCAGATAGAAAAGAGGCCTGGGGCTGAGCCCTGAGGGAGGCAGAGCACTGAGCAAAGGAGGCTGAGAAGGAGCAACCAGAGAGCTCGGTGTCCTGAAAGCCAAATTTGGAAAGTACTCCCTTCCAAGAGAAAGCAGTGGTCGACTGTATGTATGTATATATATGTGCTACATTTATAAAGACCTCCATGCAGAAACATACCCTCTCTCTCTACAGATACATACATATACACAGGGAGCTGTGGATAATGGCGTTATACTACAGAAACAGATCTACAACTCTGTTTACTTCCCTGAGTCTACTGGGAACAGTGTCATGGCAACAGTGTCCGCCTGCTTCCATCACCTTTTTTCATGGCTGCATAGTATTTCATCATGCCCATGAACCATAAATAACTTTTTCCCTGTAGGTTAGTATTTTCCCCAATACAGAATTCTAGATTACACAACAGTGAGCATCTTGTGCAAGCATCCTTTCACACTTGTGTGGTCATCTCCTAGAGCAGAGTTGCTGTATGCAAGCATATGTCCTTTTTACCTTCTGACTCTGGACTCCTTCCTGGGGAGCCCCACTAATCAAAGACATATTCCACGTGGAACAGCTGCTGACTTCAAGGAAGAACTGCCCAGGACATCCAGGCAGACTCTACTCTGAGGACCCTTCTGTACACAGGGAAGATACAGGGCAGACACAGGGCAGCCACTACATAATCACTGTTAGAAATCAGCAAAGCTTTGTGTCATTAGAAAAGTCTATGACAGGAGGCAATCTACGGATCCTAGCTCTCAGCCTGACATATCGAGCTGCAGCGGACTTCTGCATATAAAGACTGTCCTGTTTCCACAGAGAGAGGAGCAACTCTCCAGGCCTGCAGGACCTCCGGCTGAGCCACAAAGAGTTTATTACATCAAGAGCAAATGCGGCAGACGAAGGCAGTGCCTTCCGTGAAATGACTGTAATTAACTTCAAATCTTTCTCCACACTTTATTTTTGCTGGCTGGATTTGTGATTTTGCTGTCAGAACAGGCCTACAACATACCTCAGATGTTTTTCCTTTACCTTGTCATTCTGAGCAAAAGCATGACTCCATCACCTGTCTGGGCACAAACCGAGTCTTTGTCTGGATGGTGTCAGCACATCCTGCACACTCAGCGGCAACCCTGAAAATAACATCTACCGCCTGCCAGGCAATTGGCTGACTGCCTCCGTGATCTTCAGGGGCATCGAGGGACAATGTATTTGTCACGCACCTCTGTAATACAGTGCAGGGAAATGGACTTGGACACCTTTCAATTCCAAAGGAAAATGACAAACACATAGTCATGCCTTGGATCTCTATTTATTCCCATCTCTGGGCAGGTCTGTAAATAGCATCAACCCAGGTCTCAACCCCACTGCTGGTGCCTAAGCCACAGAAACTGTAAGAAACTGACACTCATCCAGGGAGAAGTACTCCCCTAAACTGGGTCTTAGCCAGCGAGAGAGGCTCACAGGAAGGTCTCTGATAACCTGAACTTTTGAAAAGCTTAGAACTGTGTGATCAGGCCACATGCCCTTCAGTTCCTGAATGTTCACCACCCCGTGGTATCCTTCTGCCGTGGTAGAGACCCCAACCACACACACCAGTTAAGCTGCCAACACTGTTTCCTCCCCATTCTGCTCCGTGAACAACACGCAGTCCAGCCAGGGGGTCAACAGGGAGGGTTTTCTTATGTGTCATGGCTGAGATCAAAGTCTTCATACCCCAAGGACACAGTAGATAGAAGGCAGCCAACAACATTTATGCCAAATCCCATTCCCTAAATAAGCGTATTTGATAGTCGATTATGAGGTAACTGGCTCCAGACAGATAAGCCCCTGCATGATGTTGAAAGTCAGACCCTGGGGGTGAATGCCACCTTGTCTTTGTCCTGCCCGGCTGGTCTGCGTGTCTCTCCTCAGAACGCCGTGTAGTATTGCTCCATTGTGCTGACAATGTCACTCTGGTCCTCCAGGAGCTCCAGAACTTGCTGCAGCACAGCCTCACTCAGACCTGGGCGGACGCTCAGGCGAGCACAGGCCAAGATGTGCAGGAAGTGACAGCCCTTCTCCACGTCTGCAGGAAAAAGGCAGGTAGCTGAGCGTGGACACAACTGTCAGGCCCTCCCCTGTCCTCTCCATACCTCCTGACTTGGCACCTGTAGTCTGACCAGATCCCCAGATGATCCTGATGCACATTAAAGTCTGAGATGCATGATCTACGTGATCACAGACACAAAACAGAAACACCTGTTCTCAGGCCCCTGATGTCACCATGGCAATATGAAGCCACTGCTCAGGACCCTGAACTTCAACCTTCAAGGATTCTCAATCAAAGACTTTTTGACCCATAACCCAGTGGATTTTTAGTGCGTGATAAGCCTTTTTTCTCTGGGGTAATTACAGGTATAAGTGTAACCTACTCAGTGCCAAACCTCTAGCTTCCCATGGAGCCCTCTTGAGACTCACAGCAGAGCTGGTTTGCTGCAGCCTCTGTATGCCTTCCCCTAAGTCCTGATTTGATGGGGCTGCGAGGTGAGAAGGGATTTCTACCTTTGGCCTGTTCTCATTCCTCTCTTCCTGGCTTCCAAAAGTCTTATCTGTGATTGCTGTATTCCCAGCAATCTCTTACCCTCTGCCCAACACTAGGACCATCTGGTATACAATACAAATTCAGAGTTAGTAACCTCTTTCCTAGTTGAAATCAATGACTTAGAACATTGGTAATGAGAAAATAACTTTTATCTGAAGAATGCAAGTCCTTTTAATTTTCAGGCCCAGAAAGGCACGACAATGAAGCAGCAATCACGCCCTACTCCTCACGATGTATTCACCTCTGAAACTGCTTGCTACTGCCACAAGTAGTTATCAATTAGCCTAATAATGCCACATTGAACACTATAATCCACACTCTATAGCTTAACAAAGCAAACCCTCCCCAGCTGTCACAGGTAAAGCTCCACTATAGGGCCAGGCGTGGTCTCTCTCTGCCGTACACCTAGTACCTGGCACACAAAAGCTGCTCCGCACAGTCACTGAATGCTGTTTTCAGGTGAAAAATGCTTTAGGCTTTAGGAAGGTGCTCGAGGAGGTATTGTGGTGTAAGGCAAAGCATGGTTCAAGGTTTGCTGTGCTTTGGGGCTATGAGCAAGTCATCCCTAGGCCTCAGTGTTCTCAGCTGTGGTGAAAACCACTTCCAAGGCCTTTCCAGCCCTAAGGCTCAGAGACAGCTCCTGGGCTAACAAAGATTTGCTAAATTCTGACCTCTAGTGGCTGTGTCCACTCATTACTCCTCCCGACTGGGATTGCTGGCGTCCACACTTCCAGGCTGTTCCTTCAACATTCACTCCACAGACTTCCTGAACACCTAGTATGTGCGCAGTGCTGAGCAAGGAGGGGCAAGTAGAGCTTGGCAGATCAAGCGCTGCCAGTGGACACCTGAATTCAAGCCTGGCTCTACAACCAGGGCAAAGTGGCTCCTGGAACAAAACCACCTCCTTCTCAGGGTGGCTGTGTGGATGAGAGACCAGGGAACCACTATGATTTGGTTCATCATATTCATAACCCAAGAAGATGAACATAACTTACTTAGTTCCTGCTCTAGAGAAGCTTCAGCCCTTCCCGAGAAGAAAAGACTCCCAAGGAGGAAAAGCTGACCAGCCAGCGATGGCAGGACAGGTCTGATGGCAGAGGGTGAAGGGCTCCAACCACACAGACCTGCACACAGCAGGGAGGAGCACAGGGAATTTAGTGCTGCTCAGCTCTTAGTTTCTGTGAGGCCTGGATGCTAGAACTCAGGGGATCGAGATGACTTATAGGTATCCGTGGGGCCCGAAGCAGCGATGATGACTGTCTCAGAGGCCTTCAACTGTTTATTCAGAAAGGCTGTTCTGCTGAGGGTTATCTGGTGAGGCTGTTCAAAAGTGATCTTCCAGTCATATGGGTAACATGAACTTAGACTCTTAGACTCCTCTCTATTTTTAATTTTTATTTTTTGTAGAGACAAGGTCTTATTATGTTGCTCAGGCTGGTCTCGAACTCCTGGCCTAAGCAATCCTCCCAAGCATGGGGATTATGCGAGTAAGCCAATGTGCCCGGCCTTAGATTCTTCTCTAAGTGAGAAACTATTAGAAAACAGTAAAAGAAGGAAAAGCCAGCAAGAAGCTCTGCACTGTTAGTACAATGACATAATTCGACTCTTCTGGAACATACCCACAAGCCGAAGCAGATTTTTCTGAAAAGTGTTTGCCTGGCAGACATGGTTATCTCATGATGCATCTCCATGAGCAGTGATAACTGCCCCTTATATTTTCCCAAGAACTTTTGCATGTAGCCTCATTCATACTATACCCCATCATACCTCCACCAGAAACCAAAAATGCTGCTGTTCTAGAGACCGAAATGATATAAAGATACATTTCAGATATAACTACAAAAGGTTAAACTTCTTTTTTTTTTTTTTTTTTTTTTTGTGTATAGGGAGTTTCGTTTTTGTTACCCAGGCTGGAGTGCAATGGCGCGATCTCGGCTCACCGCAACCTCCGCCTCCTGGGTTCAGGCAATTCTCCTGCCTCAGCTTCCTGAGTAGCTGGGACTACAGGCACACGCCACCATGCCCAGCTAATTTTTTGTAGTTTTAGTAGAGACGGGGTTTCACCATGTTGACCAGGGTGGTCTCGATCTCTTGACCTCGTGATCCACCCGCCTTGGCCTCCCAAAGTGCTGGGATTACAGGCGTGAGCCACCGCGCCCGGCCCCAAAGGTTAAACTTCTTTAAGTCTTTTTAAAAAGTTTGTTGTAAGTTAAAAAAAGAATGCCTCCAGTATGAGTAGTGTTATTTGATATTCACTTTCTACCAAAAGCAGTTCTCTTCAGCTCTAGGATATTAAAAAATGAATCTGAGCTAAATACATGGGAGCTTTTTGAAAAGCTAATGGTATAAAGTAACATTTAGTGAAAGGCTTCCAATTTGGAACTCATCAAATGTTAATTTTTTTTTCTTTTTCTTTTTTTTTTTTTTTTCTGAGACAGAGTCTTGCTCTATCGCCCCGGCTGGAGTGCAATGGTGCGGTCTTGGCTCACTGTAACCTACGCCTCCCAGGTTCCAGTGATTCTCCTGCCTCAGCCTCCCAAGTAGCTGGGATTACCGGTGCCTGCCACCACACCCAGCTAATTTTGGTATTGTTAGTAGAGACAGGATTTCACCATGTTAGCCAGGCTATTCTCAAACTCCTGACCTCGTGATTTGTCCGCCTTGGCCTCCCAAGTGCTGGGATTATAGGCGTGAGCCACTGAGCCTGGCCCAAATGTTAATTTTCTTAGGTGTGAAATGATTTGCTGATCAAATAGAAGAATGTCCCTATGCCTAGCAAATACAATCGGATTATTTGAGATTGTCATACCCATACTGAAGGCCAAAATCCAGATTTTGTTAACTTTACTCCAACAATATTAGAGCAAAATCCAAACACAGATTCTATCTGAAACTGCTTCCTTCCAGATCAATATTAAACCAAGCAGAGGGTGAGCTTTCAGGCCTCCAGGCTAGAGAATCAGGGACTATCACTTGTGCTATTAGGAAAGAGAACTTCATTTTTAACACTTTTTGTATCATAATTATGTGCTGAGTACTATTCTAACTTTCTAAATGCCAATTCATTTACTTGTCATAAAAACCCATCATGTAGGTACCATTATTTTCCCCACTTTGCATTTAAAGAACCCAAAGCAATTCCCCAACATTACATAGCTACCAAGTGGCGGAGCCGGAATTCAAACCCAGGCAAGGTGGCTCCAGAACCCAGCTCCTAACAATGCCACCACGCTGCCCATCTTCAGAAAACAAGTATCAATCCTTCAGGGACCTAAGACAGCTTGATGTCCACAGTCCTTTCATTATTGATGGGTTAGCCTTTGCATGACACTCATAAATGACGAAATACTTCAAGTCCTTCTACCAATCGTTCTGACAAGGAAAAACTCCAGGCCATGTTCTGTAGGAAAGGTTAGAAAGGCCCAGTAGGAATGGTTAGATCGAGGGTCAGATATTTACCTATACATATAACAGCATACTGTCCAGCTAAGGAAAAGACAGAGACACTTTTATGTGTACTGTTGCCAAATGAGCTCTAGAAGGCAACGTTAGATCTAAAATACAAGGTGTGGGACAACATATATATATATATATATATATACTTGTTTTGTCTTTTTGTTTTTTTCCTTTTTGTAGAGAACAGGGTCTCGCTATATTGCCCAGGCAGGTCTCGAACTCCTGAGCTCAAGCTATCCTCCCGTCTCTGCCTCCCTAAGAGCTGGGGTTACAAGTGTGAGCCACAGCGCCCAGCGGGATAACGTATAATGTAGGCTAAACTTCACTTGTGTTTTCTATCAAGGATAAACTATACAGTTATGTTTGTAAGTGCATATCTGTATAGTTTATCCTTTATAGAAAACACATATCCAATAGGATATGCAAGTAACTAATAACCACTGCCTTTGGAGAGGGGAACACAGAAGCTGGGGCTCAGTGCTGGGAGGGGGTCTGGCTTTTGGATGTGTATTTTTGCACTGCTTGGCTTTTTATGAGAGGCATACATTACTATTCTGAATTGCTATGTTATGAAATTATGAAGCAGGGTGGTCACAGCAGGTTCCAACACAGTCCCTGTGACATCTTTTATCAGCATTCTCAGTAACTCAGGCTCCAGAATTCAGCTCCTGGGAGTGTGGTAGTGCCAGGATATTGGCTAGTGGCTTTTAGAGGCCCCCATTTACAGACTGAGTGGCAGAGCCTGTCCACTTGATGAGCTGGCCTGTGGGTAGATGTTGAACCTGCCACTTTCAGGACATCTCAGGCAGCCATATCCAAATGAAAAGTGAATTCCTCTCATGGACTTTTCTAGCCCTAGGCTTCAATCCATTCCATTCCTAATGCAGATGAAAATAAAGAATCTGGCCAGGAGGCCGGAGACTAGGGTGACTGCAGGGATGTTATCTTGGGAGCATCTTCTCATCCCTTCCTGGATTGAGGAATCCCACACTGCACTGCTCTCAAAAGCTCCTTCAATTGTGGACAGATGGGCTTTTCTCTCAACTAAAGGATACTTGTTCTTATTGTTTTGAATGAAGTGAACCAAGTCCATTCACTTGCATTGAAATAATATATTGCTTTGAGTTTATTTTAAGAGCTGTCGTCATACCACTCTGGGATCTGACCTCATGGCTTCTTAAAGGCTAACTAGGGCTGTATACCATAAACACCGGGGCTGGAAACCTGGTCCAGCTTCACCCACTCACTCAACCTGGCGCAGGTCCAGGCCCCAGGGACGTATGGGCTGAAGGACTGGAGGTGGAGTTCATTGGCAGATCAGGAGCTTGCGGTCATTAACAAACCTTTCCAACACTTATTATTATAGAATATGCTTGCAAAAGCTAGACTTTCAAAACTCACCTTTAAGACCAATCAGTTTACATAGGATTTAAAGATGGGACTAAAGCTTTTTTCTCTTTCTAACTAGTGTGGAAACAGTATGTTTGTTGTCAGACTGGTTACAGTTTCAGTGTCTAACCACTAGGGGCTGAACTAACTCCACTGAAACTATTTTCTAAACCATTTCTTTTGCAAATTATCAGTTTCCAAGATGACTGAATTATACCGTTCATAAACTGTCATGTCTAGAACTATTCCTTCCAACGCTGAAAGCCTTTGATGTTAGAATAGAGGGAAATGTCAGGTTTGTGTTCAAAGAAAAGGGGCAAGCATGAAATAAGAAATAACACAAATCAGAGAGAACATGAGAAGCAGAATGACATCAAAACGTCCTAGTGTGGTGACCTTACCTCACTGTATCAGAATTCCCTGTTTCGCCCCCACCTCATCTTCTATAGAAACAGAATCCCCAGGGTAGAATCTGGGCTGTGAATGTTTATAGAGAGCTCCAAGGTTGAATCTTATGTACAGCCAAGGTCACAACTGTGCTAGCCTACTCCTTTAGAGAGGAGATGGAGGCTCAGAGAGGGCAGGTACCTCGACTATAGCCTTTCCAAGGCAATACTGGGAAAAGTCCCAGGTCTCCTGACTCTCCATCCAGTGCTCCCTGGGAGACAGGGCATCACTTGTACATTACACCACTTACGATTTGGTTTCTGGCAGTCCTCTTGAATAATCCGGTGGATCTTTTTGTGCAGGTCTTTGTCTTCTCTGGTTACCTAAATAGGAAAAATAGTTGAGAGACAGTGTTCTTAGGTAACATAGCAGTTGTGTCATCTAGACTCCCAAATGAGTATTCAGGATAGTTTCTAAAGATTTCATAACAATCATCTTCCCTACACCAATAATGTGGTTTTCGATACTTGGCCCAGTGTCAAACCAGTTCTGCCTAGAGGACATGTCCTTGGAAGTTGGTTAATTGGGGCAATGAGGTTAAAAAAAAAAAAAAGCTGGAATTATATACTTTAAAGGAGCAACTAACTTTCTTGATCAATGCTCATAACACATTTATTTTATTTGTTGTTATATTTTTGAGCGAGGTACGAGTGATCAGGGCCTCTGATCTCCACCCCATGACTCCTTCTGGGCCCTGATACCTATCTTGTGTTACATCAGTTTTCTTGCTTCTTTCAGCCACAAGGAAAAAAACAAGAAAAACAAACAAACAAAAACCCCTGCAAGGACAAGCTAGCAGGAGAGTAAAGCTAGCCTATCACTGAAACACTTTCTGCTCTCAAAGGCAGACACAACCTAGTCGTCTTCTTGTTTTGAGATGGAGTCTCACTCTGTTGCGCAGGCTGGAGTGCGGTGGAACAATCGTGGCTCACTGCAACCTCCACCTCCCAGGTTCAAGTGATTTTTCGGCCTCAGCCTCCCGAGTAGCTGGGATTACAGGCACCTGGTACCATGTCCAGCTAATTTTTGTATTTTTAATAGAGATGAGGCTTCACCATGTTGGCCAGGCTGGCCTCGAACTCCTGACCTCAAGTGATTCACCTGCCTTGGCCTTCCAAAGTGCTGGGATTACAGTATGAGCCACCACGCCTGGCCAACTTAGTCTTTTTCAACCAGCTCAGATAAGAGAGAAGCAGCACACAACAGGTTTCACCTACATGTTCCATAATGAATCTAATAATAAAAAAGAGAAAGAATAGGAAAGAAAGAAAAAAAGAGGAAGAAAGGAAGAAAGAAGGTAAGCATGCAAACAGCTGTAAGTTTCCTCCTTAAAGACAGCCCAGGAATGCCTGTCTAACCTGCCTTACAGGAGGGGGCATCCTGAGAACACCTGCCTTCTCAGCTCATAAGGTTATGACGAAGATTAAACAAGGTCACCTGTGAGAGCTGCTGAACGCAGGAAAGCACTAGACAAACAGAAATGTTGACTTTATTATCATCATTTCCCTGAGGCAGGGCTTCAGGAGAAAGGCGACTACAAAGCAATGGAGGGGTGAAGTCAGAGATGGCGATAAGAGATCTATTTGTGCTTGATCACAATGATTCACAGGAGGAAGTGCCAAGCCCTGCCACGCCTTGCCCTCGACTGCCGCTCCCCAGGAAGGGCTGTGCTCTAAAAGGCCTGGGAGGAAATGTGTGTCCCAGAGCGGGGCTCAAGGTGAGCTGCCCCCATGAGCTTCTCCAGCTTCCAGGAAGCAACCAACTCCCACCCAGCCTTCCCATGCCAGGACTCCCATCCTACGATGGTGTAGATGACATTCACCCTTATATAGACGGGGATACCTGTTTCAAAAGTTATTTAAATGGTATTGTAATTTCTAAAACCTCTCTAAAGTGGGGAGTCACTAGCGTAAGTCAGTATCAAGAAATGTCCTATTAAGAAAAGCTTCCCTCAGGAATCTTGCCTTGTAAACAAGTAAGACTTCTGGGATACAGCAGAATTTGAACGGTCTCTGGGAGAACTGCACATAACTGAGTCCATATCCACTGATGCCAGTGGTCCTGAGAAGGCCCATTTCCAGCTTAGTTCCTCCAATATTGAAGGTATGTAGCAAGAGGCAAACTTTTTTTTTTTTTTTTTTTTTTTTTTGAGACGGAGTTTCACTCTTGTTACCCAGGCTGGAGTGCAATGGCACGATCTCGGCTCACCGCAACCTCCGCCTCCTGGGTTCAGGCAATTCTCCTGCCTCAACCTCCTGAGTAGCTGGGATTACAGGCACGCGCCACCATGCCCAGCTGATTTTTTGTATTTTTAGTAGAGACGGGGTTTCACCATGTTGACGAGGATGGCCTCGATCTCTTGACCTCGAGATCCACCCGCGTCAGCCTCCCAAAGTGCTGGGATTACAGGCGTGAGCCAACTTGGGAAGAGTGAGGCAAACAAGCTCCTGTACTTCTGCTGTGAGTCAACTGGTACAGCCTTCAGGCAGGCCCATCACACTGTGTCGGCAAAAGCTGAAATGGCCATGCCATCTGCTCCAGGAGCTCCTTTTTAAAGAATCAATCTTAATCCTATCACTTTGGGAGGCCGAGATGGGCAGATCACAAAGTCAGGAGATCGAGACCATCCTGGCCAACATGGTGAAACCCCATCTCTACTAAAAAATACAAAAATTAGCTGGGCGTGGTGGCGTGCACCTGTATTCCCAGCTACTTGAGAGGCTGAGGCAGGAGAATTGCTTGAACCCAGGAGGTGGAGGTTGCAGTGAGCCGAGATCATGCCACTGCACTCCAGCCTGGCACCTGGCAACAGAGCAAGACTCTCTCAAAAAAAAAGAAAAAAGAAAAGAGAGAGTCAATCTTACAGAAATATTGACATGAGTTCACAAACACAGCTGTGCAAAAATGGCCACACAACACTATTTGTGACAGTAAAAGTTAGAAATACCGTTAAGTATCCATCAAAAAGGAATGGCTAAAAAATACACTGCAGGTCCCCATTATACGGAATACCCTGAGGATTTTAAAAAGAATGAGGTAGATTTATAACTACTAATACGGAAAGGTGCCTGTGATGTGTTATTGTGGTACCAAAAAAACTGCAGAGCATTATTTCTAGTAGCAAGTCTCAATGCTCCCAGGAAACATCTGGCAATGTCCAGGGACATTTTTGGTTGTCACAGTTGGGGTGCTGCTACTGGTATCTAGTAGGTGAAGGTCAGGGATGCTGCTAAATATCCCGCAATGCACAGGACAGCTCCCACAACAATCAATCACCTAGCACAGAGAGTGTTGAGATCAAGAAATGCTAATTTAGAACATGATCAGACTTTTTACAAAACAAAAAGATTCTTGCATAAGCCAGAGATTTGAAACAACTAAAAAGTCACAGGAGCATATTTGTATATGTATGGATTTGTACATGTACAAATAAATGTCTAGAAGGATATACAGTTGTCTCTCGGTATACTTGGTGGATTAGTTCCAGGACTCTCATGTGTACCAAAATCCACATATTCAAGTACTGAAGCTGGCTTTGTGGAACCTGCACATACAAAAGGGCAGTGCTCCTCATATGTGGGTTTCACATCTGCAAATACTGTACTTTCCATCTGTGTTTGGTTGAAAGAGTGCATATGAGTGGACCCGTGCAATTCAAACTTGTGTTGTTCATGGGTCAACTGTATTATTAAAAGAGATACCTTGGGGAAGGATAAGAGCCAACTTTCAGTTCTGATTTTATTTTCCTCCTTAATAATTTTTAAGAACAATTAGGTTATTCATAAGCAATAAATATATTTCTAATTGAAGCCGTGAAGGAAAAAAGTTAAGTTGCAAGTATCTTACATAGTATAGGTTATCGAAACCATCATCTTTCTGGAAAACAAGTCCTTTTTCCTGCAACAGCTGTATAGCATTCTTAAATATACTATGAATTGCCTTGGAAGTGGTGTCCTTCTTCAAATTCACCTGTGTAGAGAGGAAAAAGAAAAAAAGAAAAGAAATAAGTCTCACTTTATGGCACCTGAGAGCAACTCCCTAGACCAGCTGGTTCATGAATTCACCCAACAGGACTTTCATCTGCTGAGTCAAAAAGATCCTGGTATGTACCGGCCTAGCAAGATGGTATTTAAGGAGGACTGTGAAGTGTGCCCTGGCAGGTCATCTGTCATAACTGGTCCATACCTTAGTTGTGATTTTTTTTTCTGAACTCCACACTGTGTAGTACAGAATAAAAAAGCTACCTTTACTGTTGGGCAATCTTTGACTTATTTTTTTATACAAAACCAAATACTGTATATATATTAGCCCCCTTTTCTATTAAAATTGCGGCTGTATACAATCTCTTCTTAGGGACTTCAAAGATTTTTACGTATGTTGGATTAATTTGGGGATTCCAGCATGAAGTATTAAATAGACTCCTTATTTTAAATGGAGGATGATGGAGGCTGTATAGAGATCCACCAAGGGGACTCCACAAGGCTGAAGGTAGATGCAGTCCTCGGGTAAAGCACAGTCCCCACCTGGAAGGGACCTCTGCTGCTGTCAGCTCTCCCCCTCATGTTCACTATACTTCCCTGCTCTAGTGACAGGTTTGCCTGGGGAGCGTCATCCTGCTTCTCATCCCCGAGGAAGCGAGGCTATCAGCTATGTCCCCCCATGATTGACCAGATGGGGTGCTTCTTGAGTCAGGGACTTTGTTTCATTTTGGCCACCTCGTCCCTAGCATGTGTTAGGTGACCGATAAAATATCTGTGAGATGAATGGAAACAAATTCCCATTAAAGAGTGTGTATCCCTCTTATTATTCCATTGGGGATTTTCCATTCCCTCCTAAAACAAAGAAAATGGTGAACAACAATTGCCCTTCAAAGTACAGATCCATTTTTAATGTGACAGAAATTTGTCAAGACATTAAAAAGATCAGAGCTTCAAAGAAATGTGCCAAAGCTTCCAAAAAAGCATTGAAGGGCAAGTCCTACCTCTATTGAAAGGTGCTTACAAAGGCTACGTGGGGGCAGCACCCACAGGTGCTGAAAGAGTGGCTGAGATTTGCTAATGACATTTCCTCAAGGGGAAAGGAAAGAGCCTCTACAGATCTTGTGCTCACAGGTCCACCCCAAAGAAACCTCTTTCTAGAAGAGGCCTCCCAAACAGGCTTTTTGTTACTCTAGTAGATCCTGGTGATTTTTCACAAATGTGCTCTCCTGGGCTATCAATAACAGCCTAACACTCTTAATTGAATTAACAGTCTAAGTTTTTCCTTAAAAGAAGAAGCTGGAGAACCTTGTCATTAGGGCCCCAAAACTGACAAACATTCCAGGTAATGAAAGCTTCTATTCTGAAGGGAGAATAAGGCTGGGAAATATTTGACAACTTCCACAGGCAAAAAGCTCTCTGGGTATGTTTAGAATAAACACCTCACCTAGCAATCCTCAGTCACACATCTCTTTAGTCACAGAGGCTTAGGGCAAAACTGTTTTTAATTTCATACATGAGTGCTCTTAGGGGATACACCATTGGCACAATAGACACTCCTTTGCAAGCCTTCATAACTTCTTAATCTTTATCATTTTTTAATTAAATTCTTTTAAATTAAAAAAATTTTTTTAATTTAAATTAGTCTGTGGGGGGGACTAGGGGAGGGACAGTGGGGGCTAGGGAGAAACTAATCTTTATAATTTTAAGGAGATCTATCTTCTTTAGTCAATTTCACATAAGGATCCTAAGGATTAGGTTTATTACATCTCTTAGCAAGATAGAAATAAATTGGAAGCTAGAGATGATTATTACATGATCATTCCTGTCTTTACAAATGACTTTTGGGGCCGGGTGCGGTGGCTCAAGCCTGTAATCCCAGCACTTTGGGAGGCCGAGATGGGTGGATCACGAGGTCAAGAGATCGAGACCATCCTGGTCAACATGGTGAAACCCCATCTCTACTAAAAATACAAAAAATTAGCTGGGCATGGTGGCGCGTGCCTGTAATCCCAACTACTCAGGAGGCTGAGGCAGGAGAATTGCCTGAACCCAGGAGGCGGAGGTTGCGGTGAGCTGAGATCGCGCCATTGCACTCCAGCCTGGGCAACAAGAGCGAAACTCCGTCTCAAAAAAAAAAAAAAAAAAGACTTTTGGTTATCCCCAAACCATATAAAGAACCTAGTTCTCCCTCCCAGATTTCAGTAAGATCAAGTAGCAGGAAGAGAGAATGCTAGGCCTGGGAGATTAAAAACACAGTTTCAGCTGTGAACAAGGAGGACTCAACAGAAATGGCTCTCTGTAAATATAAACAATACGTGAAGCTTCCTTTCCAAAAACATTTGCCTCAGCTGACCTTGGGACATATTTCCTTGGCCTAGTTATAAAACGCATAGTCTCAAGGGTAAAGCCACTAATCGTCTCTTCTAGCCAGCAGCTTTTCCTGGACTGGGATCTGTGTCTTTCTTGTCTTTTTCAAAAGAGCAATGACAGACTCATCAGATTTAGGAAACCGAAACTGCTCACAGACAAAAAAAAATAGTGACTAGCTAAACGTACTGAGCCTTACCAAGCCTCTCCTCATCTCAGGTCAGTAACTGGGTGGATCCCTGAAATATATATAGTCTTCATTCCCAAACAAACTCAACATTCATCCAGCTGTCAAAAAAACAATGGTTTTGCAAGCCCTGCTTATCATGTTTCTGGATTTGCTAAGAAGGGCCACTATGAAAAAAAGGAGGAAACATTCAAGCCTGCTCTCTATCTGCCTCTAAACTAAAACTCTATCACAATGATTTTTGTTGTTGTTAAGCTTTCATCTGCATGACAACAGAAAGTGCCAAAGGATCTAGGGTTTCACTCTCATTGTAAAGCACCTTTAGTTATTAAACAGAACTCAGTTTAATCACACTGACCTCCCCAAAGCAATGTGCGGGACTAATTCCTAATTGATGGGAAAAAAAAGAGTTTCTAAAGACAAAACAAATATAATGAATGCCATATTCAATTCTTTTTAAACATACAGCACTAGGCAGACACAAGTTTCTGCTCTAAGCATCTTCAAAAAGATACCACGCCAGAAGTTCCCCACAGATCATTTTGAATGGAGGAGTCTTTTAGTCCTCAAAGAGCGCTTAAGTCTCTCTCTTTACTTAATTATAGCTATCACAGAAGAGCTGGTTTCATGTGAAAAATATCGTCTTCACTAAGCTTTAAGGTTTCTTTCCAAACATGCTGATAGAATCATCAGAAGTCCTAGGAGGTCAATTTGGCTTTGAGCCGCCTCTAAATGATTAAGTGGGAAGAATGTCAATCTTGCGGTCAGCAGACAGCTGGAGCGCTGCAACTGTTTAGAAGCAACCTTGGCAAAGAACAAAGCAGCCAGTCATGACCCTTTCCACCTTGGTGTTTGCTGAAACGATATCCCTCATCTCCCCATATGAAATCATGGGTCACTGGGCACATCAGACTGTTGCCCAGAAGAGATAATTAGGAGCACAAACAAAACTGAGAAGCAGTGGTCATGCCCAGGAGGTCAGGATGTGACTCAGTATCTGTTCCACCAAAATCAAAAACAACTTATGTTACCTAGCAAGGGTATTCAACAGCAGCCCTCCTGGTAATGGCAAGAGATCAGAAAACATCTAAACAGTTCAGGAATGGAGAGATTGGTCAAACACATGATGGTACACGTAACAAAAGACTGTAGGGGCCAACCTGTAGTACGACTAGGAAAAAATCTATAAGACACACGTCAATGAAAAGTGAGGTCTCTCTTAGTATACTACGCCATGCTACCATCTGCGTAAAACAGAAGGGGCTACAATGACTTAGAGTTCATATAAGCACAGACTATCTCCAGAAGGATATTCCAGAGACTAGTACTGGTGCCTGTCTCTGGGGAAAGGGAGTGAGAGGGAGGATGGGAAGAAACTGACGTTTACCTTTACACTTTGTGGGATGATATGAATTTTTAAAAATCATTTATTCCAGGCCGGGCGCGGTGGCTCAAGCCTGTAATCCCAGCACTTTGGGAGGCCGAGGCGGGTGGATCACGAGGTCAAGAGATCGAGACCATCCTGGTCAACACGGTGAAACCCCGTCTCTACTAAAACTACAAAAAATTAGCTGGGCATGGTGGCGCGTGCCTGTAATCCCAGCTACTCAGGAGGCTGAGGCAGGAGAATTGCCTGAACCCAGGAGGCGGAGGTTGCGGTGAGCCGAGATGGCGCCATTGCACTCCAGCCTGGGTAACAAGAGCGAAACTCCGTCTCAAAAAAAAAAAAATCATTTATTCCTTCAATCAGCAAATAATTACTGAGAACTTGCTTTATGCCAGACCAGTTCTAGGCCCTGGGTAGAGAACAAAGAACAAGACAGACAAGGCCTCTGCTCTCACAGAACTTAACTTCGGATGAAAGAATAGGCAGGCAAACAAAAAAAGACCGGTGATGTCACAGATATGAAAACAGGGTGTAAGAGTGAGGAGCCATGCAGCAATCAGAGCAGATAGATGGCCAGGGAGGGCAAGGAGGGGCACTTAAGCTGAGATCATTCCCTGGTGGGATAAAGAAAATAAATAAATGAGTCATGTTACAACAACAAACCTAAAACTGTAATGAAAGGGAAAGCCGAAAACCAATGTCTCAAATAATTCTTAATTCCAAGAAATACGTCAACACCAAGCAACCAAACAAGTTACCTAAGTAATACTAGGGGTAAAAACATGGAGACAACTTTTTGTTTCTTGAGACAGGGTCTCACTCTGGGTGACAGTCAGGGGAGAGGGTCGCCCAGAGTCAGACCCTGTCTAATTTTTGTATTTTTAGTAGAAGCAAGGTTTCACCATTTTGGCCAGGCTGGTCTCGAACTACTGGCTTCGAGTGATCTGCCCACCTTAACCTCCCAAAGTGCTGGGATTACAGGTGTGAGCCACTGCGCCTGGCCCCTCCTTACTTAATCTTATTACACTTAATATTTGAGTAGAAAAGAAAATAATAGTCTAAGGTCCATAGTACTAGGTTGTTAGTATTCATTGAGATGGATGTTTAATCTCAGTAGAAATCAAGTGACAGAGAAGTAGATGAGAGGAGGTATTATCCATCCAAGACGATTTATTGATCAGCAAAATGATTCTTGAACTGGAACCATGGTTTCTAATGACTTGCTGTTTTTCAGAATAAGATTAACCCATTGAGTGTTAGGAGTTTAAAGAAAGACCGAGTTGTATTCAGTCTCGTTTATAAGTAAAATTTCAAGGAACACTTAAGTAATTTTTTATTCCTCTTAGAAAAAGTTATCTCAGTTAGCCAGGCATGGTGGTACATGCCTGTGGTCCCAGCCACTTGGGAGGCCAAGGCAGGAGAATCACCATTCTGGGCATCAGAGAGAGACTCTGTCTCTTAGGAAAAAAAAGATTAAGTAAGGAGGGGGAAGGGACAGGTCCAGCCTTATGCCTCATTTCAAATTCTTAGTGGTCAATGACCTTTCCAGGACAGAAATAATGTGTGACGCAACCATCCCCTCCATTCCATGGGTCAACTCTGTGAATCCTCATGCCATGGTCACTTTCTCCCACACCCTGCAGCTGATCTGGGGCAGGGAACCAGAATTCTCACATGGGCATGGTGCACTCACTTGGTCGGAGCAGGCATTGTGAATCACAGGCTGATTGGCAATGGACAGCAAAGACTCCACCATTTCTAGCTCCTGCTGGTAAAAGCTCTGCACTCTGTTCTCCATAAGGAATTCTTTGGCTTTTTCACTCAGCAAACTCGTGAGACTGGGGAGGTCCAGGGTGCCTGGATTGCTGCCAAGGGAAAGTTTTAAAGAGCTCTGCAGAAAGCCATCTCCTTTGCTCCTCTTTGGTGTATAAAAAACAGAAAGTGAGCTAGAAAATGCAACACTATACTGGTGTTTGTTTTTCATATAAAGGGTAATTCATACAGTGAACATCATGTGGTTGTACTCCAGGAACTAAGACATTCATGACAGATTAGGAGAAAAAAGTCAAACTGCAGAACAGCATGTAAGGTATGGTCCTATTTTTATATTTAAAAAAAAAAAACAAATGTAAACCCATCAAATGTATGGGTGACTATTCATGCTTGTGTAAGCACAGAAGAAACCAATTTAAAGACACATGAGCATTGGTAACCTCTGGGGAATGATGCTGAGGCAGGAGACAGGAAAATGGAGAATTTTTACTTTTTATATGAGTCTATAGTTTGTGCTTTTAATATACTTTTTTGAATATATAATATATTCATGTTAAGAACCATGAAAGGGTAAGCAGTGAAAATCTCCTTTCTATCCTCTTCCTGTCCTATCCTCCGGTCCTCACCCCCGAGGGAGCTGCTGTTGCTGTTCTTTGCTCTCCTCTCAGAGTTCTTTTATGCATATATTAGCGAATATCTACACATTCTCATTTCTCCTGGGTTTTTTTCTCTCCCATGTAAAAGAGTAAAATCATCCCTGGTAAAGAATGACCAGTGTAAATTTTTTAAAAACAGGCTTTTCATTATGACATGCTATGGTATAAATTAACTTTGATTATGAGGTGACTTGGTACAGTTTTCTTCAGGTTTCTTGCCTTGTGGTTCTTTAAGCTTCCTGGATCTGTGAGTTTCAAGTTTTTATCAAACTTGGAAAAATGTCAGCCATTATTATTTCTTCAGTGTTTTTCTCTGTTCCTGTCTCCACTCCTCCTTCAGTGACTCCAATTACACACAAAATTTCCTCACAACAACCCGAGAACATCTGTGCTATTATTCTCTTCACATTACAGATGAGGAAACTGAAGCATAGAGAGGGTTAGAGGACTTGCCCAGAGCCCCATAGCACATAGATAGATGATTCGGAATTTGAACCCAGGCTGACCCTAGCATCTGGGCTCCCCCTGTTTGGCTTTCCTGCCATGGACACGTGCTTGGCAGTGATAAGGCACCACTTACCTTAGTGCCTCTTCTTTCTCTAGGGCTGAGCTGCGAAAAGGCTGGTCATAAACTTTCCTGTAAATAGCGGGCAGCTCAAGCATCCTTGCGATTTGAATGTTCCACACTGGGTCATCCACTTTATCTAACGAGTGACCGGAAAAAAGATGCCACAGAAATTACAAATTACATTGAGATCCGTTCTTTCCGGGCCCAAAAGGCTGCTAGGACAACAGTAAATGAGATGCTGGGTGGGCCTCCTTCCTCATGAGTGCCCAGGGAACATAGGGTAGATGCACTACATGGTTCCCAGTCATCCTGCATGAGGGAACGCGATGCCCTAAGTGTCATGGGCTTGGCCAGGGCCAAGGAACCAGGAAAGCACGTCAATGTATTGATTTGTCTCCTCCTCTGGTGGACAGCAGGGGCTGTCCCTGAGATTTCCAACTGAAAACTAGCCAGCACGGTGCAAAGGGAAGATGATTGGGAACTGTCATATTTCTGATTAGCTGTTTTCATTTATTAATGGACTTAATGGTGTTCAAGAAATTTCTGGCCAGGCATAGCAGTACACGGCTGTAATCCCAGCACTCTGGGAAGCTGAGGTGGGCAGATCTCCTAAGCTCAGGAGTTTGAGACCATCCTGGGCAACATGGCGAAACCCCATCTCTACAAAAAATACAAAAATTAGCTGGGTGTGGTGGTACATGCCTGTAGTTCCAGCTACTCAGGAAACTGAGGTAGGAGAGTCTCCTGAGCCCAGGAAGTTGAGGCTGCAGTGAGCTATGACTGTGCCACTGCACTCTAGCCTGGGCAACAGTGTGAGACCCTATCTCAAAAAATAAAAAACAGAGAAAAATAAAGAAATTTTCATTATTTTGACGAATATTCATATTTTGCCCCAATGGATTGACATTTTGAACTTGAAAGTGCTTTGTAAACTCTATTATGTCATCCGAATAAACTTGCCAACCATATATATAGTAAATAATTCATATTCTTTCCCAACTTATAATTAGCTCTCTTCAAAATAAAATTAAGAAATGCTGCTTTTCTAAAGAAAGCATGTTAAACAATGTAATTCACTCATTAAATATAGTTAAATCTTAACTTTTTGAAAGTTTGACTTCCAGCTGAACAACAGGTTTACTGGACGCACATCCAGAAAAACCACCAATTTGGTAGAAATATCGTGTGCTTACAGTAAGTGGTGGCACGAATCTCTCGCTCTTCTCTGTACGTGCGGATGCTGCCTCTGACTCGGATCGTGTCCCCAATCTCTATCTTTGTTCTCTGCTCAATGGTTTCTCGTAGCTTCTTAAGTTGTGAGGTTAAGCTGAGCTCTCTTGCTGCACTTGGAGCAGCTGTAGTAGTTTGGAGCCAGAAGGAAAGAGAAAAAGTTATAATACAATCACTCTACCACATCTGCGAGATAGTTTTAGGGTAAGACCAACATAATACGCTTATCTATTCTACTTATTCTACTGTAGGAAATCCTTTTGGAGTCCTCCACTGAGAAAAAGGTATAACTGTAATTATTCAAGAGTAGGGTGAAGGGAACGGAGTCTAGACTGAAGTCCAGCAGGCAAGTTCCGACAGACCCCAGGGCTTCCCTCCTGCCTTATATTGCCAGTGCAGTCAACCAGCTCTGCATGGCCCCGAGACGAATTCTGTGCAATGAGTTCAGCGAAGTATGGTAGTAATAGCTTTAAACAACATTTCAAATGTCCTTGCGAGGAGACTTGTCCCACCTGAGTGCTCAACATCCCAATTCTCACCTCTCTCATCTCTGTTGGGGAACTAGGCTAATCTTTCTCTCAAACACAGACACAGACACTGACACTGACACAGACACACAGACACACAGACACACACACACACACACACTCTCTCTCTCTCTATCTCTCTCTCACACACACACATATTACTTAAAACTATATTCAAGCAACTAACTTCATGATGAAAAGAACCCAATGTACACTCAATTCTAAATAACTTGTACCACTACTTGACTTCCAAATTGTATTAAGTAAGAAGACAAATTGTCACGAACATCTGGGTACTACAGGTGCTGTTCTAAGGACTTTACAATGTATTAGCACATTTAGTCCTCAAAACCACTCCTGCTTATTATTAGCTCCATTTTAGAGATGAGGAAATTGAGTCACAGAGAGGTCAAGCAGCTTGCCCAAAACAAAACAGCTAGTTAGAGACAAGGCTGGAGTTTGAACCCAGGCAGTCTCTAGCTCCAGAGCCATTCCACTTACCCTTTATTCTCTGCTGCCTGCCCCAAGAAGATACTCACATTTCCCAGTTACAGCTGGTGTGTGTAAAGGACTTTATGTTCTGTTTTTCTGCCTACCATAATTTCAAATACACATATGTGTCCAAAGCAGCTACACAGCCAAGCATTTCATGTTTATTAGAGACAAGGTCTTGCTATATTGCCTGGGCTGGAATTGAACTCCTGGCCTCAAGCGATCCTCCTACCTCAATCTCTTGAATAGTTGAGATTATAGGTACAGTTTTATCATTTTTTACTTTGGTTTTTGTCACTAGCACTGTATAGGGGCAGTACAGCTTAGCCATCAGCATTTGGCTATTGGAGTCAGAAACGCCTGACTTGAATCTCAGTTTACCTCCTACTAGTTGTGTGACCTTGGGAGGCGGCTTAACCTCATTGTGCCTCAGTTTCCTTTCTCCTTTTATGCTTCAGTTTCCTCAATTATGAAATGGAGGTAACAGTAGAGTCTACCTCATACATACAGTTGTTATGCATGATCTAATTGAACACATATTCTGCACTTAGCACAATTCCATATTTATAGGAAATTCTCAATAAATGTAAGCTATTTGTGATCATGAATAATTAAACCTTCTAGAAAAAACATCCTGTTTTCTTTGGCGTCTTTCATTCGAGATTATTACTAGATAAAAAATTACAAACTGGTTTACAGTTCATTACATATTGTCAGAATGCTTGCCAGAAAAAAATGATCAAGCCCCTCTGTTTTTAGACAATGTCGTCAGCAATGCATGCATGCTCACAACTCTTACACCAGCTTCAGTCATTTGGATTTTTAATACCTTAACAAATACATAATTATTCCATACATCTTATTTTGATTTTAAATTGCAAGAGAGGCTGTCTCCTTATACAAGACGATCTACTCTCCGTATTTCTTTATGCACAAGTCCTTCATCAAAATCAACCTAATACAGTTTTGACAACAGTGGCTCTGTAATGTGCAGAAGCATTATTTTTCCTTGAACACTCCTACTATGGCCAGGGAGACAGCAACATAGGGAGCACAGAGAACTCTGTGCATTCAGTGAGTGAGAGGTAGGAACCTGGATGCAATCAGCATTACTGCTGCTCAGAGCTTACTGGGTTTCTTAAAAATCCCCAAATGCTACTTTTTCAAAAGGCTATCCCGTCTGTGTTCCCATCCCCAGGTCCTCTTCTACTTAGGCTGAATTTTAAAGGTATTTATAAATTTCACTGCCATTATGCAGACATTATAGGTAATAGTAAATGCTTCACATGGCACCGCTGAAATGATCAGACTGATGGTTGTTCTGAGAAAAAGAGGCCCACCTTTCACTTAAAGGGGGAGCCAAATTGCCACAAGGAGTCTCAAGCTGTGTAATTTAATGAATATAATGTGCAGACTGGAGCCTGACAGAACTTCACTTTCAGTGTCTATTCCATCATGAAAGATAAATCCCCTTTAACGTTCTAATATGCAGGGCCAGGCAATTTCTGAACTTCACTCATAAGCAAAGTCCAAATGGTACATTCGATGTGACATTTATGGGAGCTAATATTATATTCTTATACATTCATTGACTAGAACATGATTTTGACTCAGACTAAATTTTGTTTAAAAAATCAGTCTTTGCTGGCCACCTTCCAATGGAAAGCTTTTAAACTAAGGGCAATTAAATTAAAAGGAGAGAATAGGCTAGTTGGGAACAATTTAAAGATGATGAGAATCATTTTTAGGTTTTCTCCTTGTACTCTTACCCTCTTGTTATATTTGCAAAGCAATCTTAAATTAAGACTACCTACTGTGATTGTTCATCCATTTATCTACTTATCGATATTTTAAAAATCTGACTCTCAGTATGAATAGCCATCTTGTTGATCTAAAAAAATACTAAGTATAAGAATTACATATTTCTGATGATGCTATTTCTTTAAAAAAGAGTTAATTTTGAAAGCTGAGACAATCTCTAAAATAGGGGTCTGCAAACTATGGCCCATGGACCAAATCCATCCACAGCCTGTTTTTTAAAATAAAGTTTTATTGGAATACAGCCATGCCCATTTGTTTATGTACTATCTACTTTCTATTATAATGGCAGCACTGAATAGTTGAGACATAGAACATAGGGTGCACAAGGCAGAAAATATGGCCCTTTACAGAAAAAGTTTGCTGACTCTCAACCTAGTATGCGTATTCGAACTATACCTTCTGACTAAAGATTGTCACAAAAATAAAAACTCTGCAAATGATTTTAATACTGTTACAGTTTCAATGTTTTTGTTCCCTCAAAAGCTCATGTGTTGGAAACTTAACCCCCAATGCAGCTGTGTTGGGAGATGGGGTCTAATGCGAGGTGTTTAGGTTATGAGAGCTCCACTCTCATGAATGGATTAAGGCCACTATAAAATGGGTTTGCAGAAGTGGTTCTCCTTCTCAGGCTCTTCTGCCATGTGAGAAACAGCTCTCCTCCCCTCTGAAGGATGAAGGACTCAAGGCGCCATCTTGGAAGGGGGGACCTGGACCTTACCAGACACCAAAACCTTGATCTTGGAATTTCTGGCCCCCAGAACTGTGAGAAATAAATTTCTTTCTTTATAAATTACCCAGTCTCAAGTATTCTATAATTCTGTTTTGCAACACAAAACAGATTAAGAAAAATATCTCAGACATACATAAAAATCCAGATACCTGATTTTCTCATAGGTGTATTTCTTGCCTATGAGCTATCTGCCTAAAAACCTGTTGTCTCCCTTAAATCTATCTACAAACCTTCCTCACCAAAGCAATTCTATTGATTTAGATGTTCCCAGATTAGGAATTAGGATTCCAAAGTTACATGAAACTGATGGCCAAATTCTAAATGTAAATACATTAGAAAATTAAGCAAATGAACATTCCATTGATTGGTATAGTCAAAGTACAAAGTTGAGATTCTGACACGTAATGGCAAAAAAAAAAAAAAAAAGAAACTATTCCAAGCATTAGATATTCTCACTATACTTAAAGCAAGTAGACAGATACCGGAGGTTAGATATTAGAGCAGGCAGTGTTTGCTGAATAACCCCACTGTGTACGGCACCAAACTGTATATGTTGTAAAACAGAGGAAAAAGGAGGTTTCAGTTTTCATAGCTTCTCTAGAACCAAAAACCATCACCAATATTGCACAATATTCTTTCACATTACAAACTTAATCTTAAAAAGTATCTAAAAATCGGGCTGGGTATGGTGGCTCAAGCCTGTAATCCTAGCACTTTGGGAGGCTGAGGCAAGAGGATCACTTGAGTCCAGAAGTTTGAAACCAGCCCTGGCAACATAGTTAGAACCTGTCTTAAATTAAAAAATATATATATATAATATATATATATATATATATATATATATCTAAAAATTATTAAAATATATTCCAAGCAATTCCAAATGTTATTTCAGTTATAGTCAATGTGTTCACTATACAATTTTAAAGTTATTTTAATTTATATTACTTTTTTTTAAACTGCATTTTAGGTTTTGTGGTACATGTGAAGAACATGCAAGATTGTTGCATAGGTACACACATGGCAGTGTGATGTGCTGCCTTCCTCCTCATCACCTATATCTGGCATTTCTCTGCATGCTCTCTCTCCCCAAATCCCCACGCCCTGCTGTCCCTCCCCTATTTCCCCACTACAGACCCCAGTGTGTGATGCTCCCCTCCCGGTGTCCATGTGTTCTCATTGTTCAACACCCACCTATGAGTGAGAACATGTGGTGTTTGATCTTCTGTTCTTGTGTCAGTTTGCTGAGAATGATGGTTTCCAGGTTCATCCATGTCCCTACAAAGGACACTAACTCATCGTTTTTGATGGCTGCATAGTATTCCATGGTGTATATATGCCACATTTTCTCTGTCCAGTCTATCATCGATGGGCATTTGGGTTAGTTCCAGGTCTCTGCTATTGTAAACAGTGCTGCAATGAACATTTGTGTGCATGTGTCCTTATAGTAGAACGATTTATAATCCTTTGGATATATACCCAGTAATGGGATTGCTGGGTCAAATGGAATTTCTATGTCTAGGTCCTTGAGGAATCGCCACACTGTCTTCCACAATGGTTGAACTAATTTACACTCCCACCAACAGTGTAAAAATGTTCCTATATCTCCACATCCTCTCCAGCATCTGTTGTCTCCAGATTTTTTAATGATCACCATTCTAACTGGCGTGAGGTGGTATCTCAATGTAGTTTTGATTTGCATTTCTCTGATGACCAGTGATGATGAGCATTTTTTCATATTTGTTGGCCTCATGTATGTCTTCTTTTGTAAAATGTCTGTTCATGTCCTTTGCCCACTTTTGAATGGGTTTGTTTGTTTTTTTCTTGTAAATCTGTTTTAGTTCTTCGTAGATTCTGGATATCAGCCCTTTGTCAGATGGGTAGATTGCAAAAATTTTTTCCCATTCTGTTGGTTGCCGATTCACTCTAATGACTGTTTCTTTTGCTGTGCGGAAGCTGTGGAGTTTGATTAGGTCCCATTTGTCTATTTTGGCTTTTGTTGCCAATGCTTTTGGTGTTTTGGTGATGAAGTCCTTGCCTATGCCTATGTCCTGAATGGTTTTGCCTAGGTTTTCTTCTAGGGTTTTTATGGTGTTAGGTCTTAGTTTAAGTCTTTAATCCATCTGGAGTTAATTTTAGTGTAAGGTGTCAGGAAGGGGTCCAGTTTCTGATTTCTGCACATGGCTGGCCAGTTTTCCCAACACCATTTATTAAACAGGGAATCCTTTCCCCATTGCTTGTTTTTGTCAGGTTTGTCAAAGATCGGATGATTGTAGATGTGTGGTGTTGCCTCTGTTCTGTTCCATTGGTCTATATCTCTGTTTTGGTACCAGTACCATGCTATTTTGATTACTGTAGCCTTGTAGTATAGTTCGAAGTCCGGTAGTGTGATGCCTCCTGCTTTGTTTTTTTTTTTTGCTTAGAATTGACTTGGCTTTGTGGGCTCTCTTTTGGTTCCATATGAAGTTTAAGGTGGTTTTTTCCAGTTCTGTGAAGAAGGTCATTGGTAGCTGGATGGGGATAGCATTGAATCTGTAAATTACTTTGGGCAGTATGGCCATTTTCACGATATTGATTCTTCCTAACTGTGAACGTGGAATGTTTCTCCATCTGTTTTTGTCCTCTCTTATTTCACTGAGCAGTGGTTTGTAGTTCTCCTTGAAGAGGTCCTTTACATCCTTTGTTAGTTGTATTCCCCGGTATTATATTCTCTTTGTAGCAATTGTGAATGGCAGTTCATTCTTGATGTGACTCTCTTTAAGTCTTAATTTATATTACTTAATGGATAACTTCCAAAGAAATCCTATCTTACCTTCTCAGTCTTAGAATTCCTGGTATTATTTGTTTGAAAACAGAGATTTTAGAAAATCTAGACCATGACAGCACAGAAGTTAGTGGCAACCATGTGAGAGAAACAGTCTTCAAAATGTTCCTTGGTCAAGTATATGGCTGGGACAAGGGGATTAAGCCTGGCTAGCAATTAGGCTAAGATACCTTGACTTATGTAATAACGGGCATGGTCAAAATAAACTGCTGAAACTCCCTGTAATCTATTCACATTTCTGTAGACTTAGGAAGAAGTGAGCACCAAAGAGACGGGAGAAAGAAAAGCAACTGGCTCTCCTATGGCATCAGTTTTCAGAGCAGCCAAGGCTCTCATCAGTGAATAAATGTGAAAATTTAGCTGTATAGCTGTTTTGATGAACCACACTGAGTAAAATCTGTTAGGTGAAAAGCAAAGGAATGCAGCAAATAAAATTACCTGATGCAGACTCAATATTCAACTTTTTCCAGCAGATGCAGTTTATAACTCCAGTGCTGTCATCCACTGCAAAAGAAATGTAAAAGGGTAGAAGAGAGATTTGGGCAAGGCTGGTGAATTAGCATGCTGTCATTGCATTCAGCCATACTGAAAGATGACCCCTTTCAATGGCCTGGAGAAGCAAATCCCTTATCAAACTCTCCTTCCACCTTTGAAACAACCTCTCACTGTATACAAGTATAAATTGCCTGTCTGCACAAGTCAATGTAATACATAAGCCCAGTGGGATATGGTCAGCATTTCACTTACCCTACCTCAAGGTACTAATGTTTAGTACTCTCAAGGGTACCCATAATGCTTGTCTACACTTCTCTACTAAAAATGGCGGCCTTAGGAAGTTAAGTAAAAAATTAAATGACTGCTCACGTACAAAATCAGCCTTTCTCTCCCACCTTGAAACAAGAGAGCATCGTGTGGTCTGTGGTTAGAGGCACAGGCACTTAGAGCACAGCCTTCTGTCACAGTCTCTTGGCTAGCATGCCGACTTACCAAGACAAAATGTTCCAAGTCATTTGGCCTGAGTTTCTCTTTGTGAAAGATCTTTTGCCCAGTCCTCACCACTGCAGGGGATGTAAGGAAAGCCAAGCACATCACAGAAGGGCATCGTTTTATTTTCATAATAGAAAATAATTATATCCTGGCCACAAAAACAGTACTAGCCTGGCTATTTTATTCCTGGGTTATCTAATTTTTGCAAAAAATATCAAACAATTCCCACTGTAGTTATATTTATAAACTACAGAGGAATTTGGAGATGTTTGCTAGGGGATAATAGGCATTTTCTCTTTGCCTAATTTCTGACAAACTCAGAACAGAGGTTGCTAAGCATGGGATCAGTGGGTCTCAAAATTTAAAAAAAAATCATCAACTAGACTGTTGTAAAAGCACACGTAATACTGAAGAAATATACAGCAAAATTTTTGGCTGCTGGTCTAAATCCATGCTGAAGAAAAGCTAAAAAGAGTATTTCCTGTAATAAAATAAATCCTAGATGGATTTTATTTAATATAAAACAGGTAAACTTAAGATGAGAAGAAGATATGGGTGAACACCATTAACGCTGGACTTATAGTGAGTGGGGAGAGACTTCTTTAAGCAAAATCTTAAAATCAGAACTCATTAAAGAAAGTCTGATAAATCTGACCACCTAAAAACTAATGTTGGATAGCAAAATTCCAAATGATAGGGTTAATGCTTTAATATATAAAAAGCTCATAAGCTGGACATGGTGGCTCATGCCTATAATCCTAGCACTTTGGGAAGCCAAGGCAGGAGGATCACTTGAGCCCAGAGGTTCAAGATCAGCCTGGGCAGCATGGGGAGATCCCACCTCTACCCTTCAAAAATTTAAAAATTAGCCGGGTGTGGTGGTATGTGCCTGTAGTCCCAGCTACTTGGGAGGCTGCGGTGGGAGAATTGCTTGAGCCCAGGAGTTCAAGGCTGTAGTGAGCCATTATGTGCCACTGCACTTCAGCCTGGACAACAGAATGAAACCCTGTCTCAAAAAATAAAAAATAAAGAGCTCATATAAATTAATAAGAAAAAAATCAAGACCACAAGAGAAAAAGTAGCAAAGAAAAGAATATGCAATTCATGGAAGACATAAAAATGGCCAATAAAAATATGTAAGTATGCTAAGTTCACCAGTTACCTTTAAAAAAGCAAATATAAATAATTTATCAGCAATGAAATTGACAAAGATTAAAAATACTGATACCCTCATATGTTGTTAGCGGGAGTATAAATTAGTAAAACATTTCTAAAATTTAAATCTTAAAGTGTAAATTTGGAAACATGCATCAGATTGTGAACTGTAAGCCAGGTGCAGTGCCACATGCCTGCTACTTGGGAGGCTAGGGTAGGACTGCTTGAGTCCAAGAGTTTGAGGCTGTAGTGTGCTACGATCCCACCTGTGAGAGTCCCTGCACTCCAGCCTGGGCAACACAGTGAGACCCTGCCTCTCAAAAAATGTTGTTTTAAAATGTATATATCCTTTGACTTAGCAATTACTTCCAGATAAAACAAAAACAAGTACACAGATATTTACATTTTACGAAAGGCTGTTCACTGCAGTAGTCTTTATAATACTGAGACCTGGAAATACCTAAATGTTTATAAACATGGAATTGGTTTAAAAAATTGCAATGACGTACTATATGAGAATAAAAAGATATACATGGCTCACTGTAAAACAGAGATATATAATCTAATTTATGTGCAACATTAAACTGTATTCTGACAGAAGTGATTTTAAGAGATTAAATGCTAACAGCAGTTTCTCTTGGAGTGTGGGGAAGGAACCCCACATTCAATGTATACGTTGACTGTAAGCCTAATTTCAAAAACACTGAGAAAGAAATATGCATATGAGTACTAAGGAAAGAGGCATTTCATTTGATATTGGGAACATGTTAAGAATATGAGGAAGGGTGTTCACCTAAACACTGACAGTTTTGCCTGATTTATAGTGTTTCACCTGATTTCTATATTCTTCATTAAAATTTTTCTGTAGTTTGAAATTTTATATTATAATGGGTAAGTACTATCTTAAGAATTCAAGGCCGGGCGCGGTGGCTCACGCCTGTAATCCCAGCATTTTGGGAGGCCGAGGCAGGTGGATCACGAGGTCAAGAGATCGAGACCATCCTGGTCAACATGGTGAAACCCCGTCTCTACTAAAAATACAAAAATTAGCTGGGCATGGTGGCGCATGCCTGTAATCCCAGCTACTCAGGAGGCCGAGGCAGGAGAATTGCCTGGACCCAGGAGGCGGAGGTTGCGGTGAGCCGAGATTGTGCCATTGCACTCCAGCCTGCGGAACAAGAGCGAAACTCTGTCTCAAAAAAAAAAAGAATTCAAAAAATCAATAAGGACATTTTGAGTTAAAAAAAAAAAAAATGCATGACCAGGCTCGGTGGCTCACGCCTGTAATCCCAGCACTTTGGGAGGCTG